TTTTAAATTTTAAAAATTATAGATAAAAAAAGGATAAATTGAATCGATCGATGGTTGTGATTGGTTACTTAGAAAACATGAGCGGCTATTTCATTTATTTCTTTTTGAACAAAGGAAGGGTATAATGGTTCAGTAAAAGTGAAAATCAAAAATAGTTATTCACCATATCCTCTTTATAATAAGTATAGATAATACAAAGATTAAATAATTTGTAGTATTTTGGTTCCAAAAAAGTAGAGACACTACAAAAAAATTGTTATAGAGTGACGCACCTTATAGTGACAAAATAAGTGTCCCTAAAAATTATTTTTATCCACACTATAAATACTAGGTTGTATATTGTTAAAAAATGTACTTATAGAATATAATGATATATAATATATGTTGTTGAATCTTGTTTAAAATCAACAATGAAATTGTGTGTAGGTATATGTCAAATAAATTTATACCTACATATGTTCAAAATCAACAATAAAATTGTGTGTAGGTGTATGTCAAATAGATTTATACCTACATATAGTATATCTATAGTGAGACTTTTTGAATGTCACTATGTGTAATATTTTCTGTAATAATACCAAAGAAGTTACAATTGTACCAATATTCTCTTTATATATACTAGCGAAGTTGAAGCACTACATGTCTATAATATTTTGTTGAAAAATAATATAAAATAAAATAATAGAGGTTATAGAATGTAAATGAAGTAAGATAATATATACTTTGAAAAGAGTTAAATAATTTTAAACAAAATTGGAGACTAAAGTTGCTTACAAAATAAAAAGGTAGTTTTTTACTAATAGAGTGAATAATTAATTTTTTATACATTTTTTTCTTCTATTTTATCCTTAACAAATATGATGGTGAAGAAAAAATATAATAAAGAGGTATAAATGTCTGCAAAATGTGGAAACCAAAGTGAGGTACCCCTTTATGTATATAATATGATATAATATAATACCAGTAGGGATGATTGTGTACAAATTATATTCGCTTATATATATTTATTTTCTATAAAAAAAAATAGAAATCATTATGTACCAATTATAGCAAGAGATGAAAATAGAGAAGAATAAAAAGGCCATTGTGTGAGTAGTGGAAAGTTATTGTGATTAAAAGACTAAAATGTGAAAAAAAAAAATTTTATTAATTTATTTTTTAAAGAAGTTGTGAAGGATAAAATGTTCCCATTAAAAATAGAGACAAAAAATGGTCGAAGAAGGTATCCCTTTATAGAGGGGTTGAGACATGTCGTACTTATAATAATTATACACAAACAACATATTAGAAGGTTGCATGTAATTATTCATAAAGGATATAAGAAATTTCTTTTACTATTTGAGAGATATAATGATCCATTAAAAAGTGAAGAAAAAGTGATTATATGTCCACAATTACCCTTTATAATATATATATATATATTATATATATATATATATGGAGCGTATCAAGTGAGAAGTTTATTGTGAGAATGTGAGAATGTGGAAATATAACCCTTAGATTAATTTTCTCTCAATTGATTAAATCCCAAATTTTCTCTCACTTATTAATCTAAGGGTTATATTTCCACCTTCTCACCTTCTCACAATAAAAACTTCTCACTTGATACGTTCCATATATATATATATATATATATATTAACATCACTTACGTACAACTAAATCAGATAACTAAAAAATATTAGCTACATATATTTTACAATATTTATTAATTTAATAAATTTTAATTTTAATTCATGTTCAAAGTTATATTCTATCAAAAGAATAAATACTGGATTGAAATTCTAAAATCTACATCTATAGAAATTAACATTAGATAAAACTGAATTAGTAGACCAAGTCAAGCCACAAATGATTCTATTCTCAACTAAAATATGGGCCATAGAAATTTAGAATTTAAAAACATTCGATTAAAATGACCAATTATATATTTTATTGACAATAGAAAAATATACCGAAGTATAATATGAATTTTTGAATGCTTAATATATATATAAAAGTAGATAAACGATCCACTACGCCTTTCACCTTACATTTTGGTTACAAAAGTATAGTTGACCATAGAAAACAAAATCATTTGACGAGAAAAAAAAATGTGCGATAAGGTGTTATCTGCCAGAGATGATCCATGTTGATAAGTAATATAACTAAAATTGGAATATATAAATAAAAAATAATTCTTACGTGTAAAGATGAATTAAATTTATAATTTACTTTTTAAGATAATTTTAGATTTTATAATTTGTTAGATCTATCAAGATTTGATATCAAACAAATGTTAAATTTCATAAATTTTATGTTTGAGGTGTTTAATCTTACGTGTACTGGAAGGACCTTATCGGCCACGTGGATCGGCCACGTGGACCGGCACGTCATGTCCTATCAGATATTGATGCAGCTCAGGTAACATTTTGGCTCGGCCACGTGGACCGGCATGTCATGTACTATCAGATGATACTGCTCGAATATCACTTCGGTCCGACAAGGGACTAAGAACTGTGCTCTTCCCCTATCGGCTCGGCCAAAAGCCGAGAGAGGACGTTTCGGCCGTGTTGTCTCGGCTCGGCCAAAAGTCAGCATCGAATAATTAGAACGACGATTATGATTAGCAAGGATAAGTACATGATTAAGACATAATCAGCCAATTAACATCGTATTACCTAATTTGGTAAATGTCAGAGAAGGCCCACCATGCTCAGGCCCATGTCAGGTATTATAAATAGGTCACACGTAACGAGGTATGCCACTGTTCATTTTTTACCCTAGAAAATCGTACTTGTCCTGACTTGAGCGTCGGAGTGCCTTTTGTAGGTACCTCCCCCCTTTGAAGAATCCACCTGAAGCTCTCGTTCGACCCTCCTACACCCCAGAAGACTACGAATGTACCCTCAGGCAGGTATATTACGTGTTGTAGAATCTCTTGAGTCACATGTTATTGAATCGTTATTAAGTTACCCGTAAATTTCACACTCAAAATATTGAATGTTTAATCTTTCATACGAAAAAGTATTAAAGATTCTATATTATCTAATAATTTAACCAAGTTATATTATATAATTAAAGAACAACTTTTATTATTATTATGTAAGATAATTTTGTAAGATTAAATTAAATATAATTTTTTTTCAAGATTTTTCGTGACATGCCTCGAATCATCGAAACTCAAAAAAAAATTTAGAATTTAAAAATATTTTAATTGAAAGACAAACTTTTACAAGATGAAAATGTTTAGTTTTTATATTTTCAAGACCAAATTTATTTATATTAAGATATAGAAATTTTGATCACATTTAAATAAAAATATAAGAACTAAAATTACATTTTTCCTTAATTTTATTAATAATAAAAAATAGAAAAAGAGATATAAAGATATTTCCTTTTCCATTACTTAAGATCTAAGAAAAAGAAAAAACGGAAAACGTATGCACTACACTTTCCTCTTACACTTTTGTCAACAAAAATACAAAATCGTGGTTGATCATAGAAAAAATAGAGACTATAGGTAACATGTTATTGGTGAGACTTGTCAAATAAGAACAAAAACCACTTTAATTAATACGAACATTTATAGTTTTGTTTTATGAAAGAGTTTTTTAAAGTATTTCAATTTATCTTTATTATATTAATTTTAATTATATTTTAATAATTAAAAATTATTTTATGTATCAATATAAATTATTTATTAAAATTTTAAAATATAATTTATACGTTTAAAAATATTTATTTATACAAATTTTAAAAATATAATTTATAATTCAAACATAATATTTTTTATATAATTTATTATAAATTTTAGTTATGTATAATAAATATTTAACATATACATTGTATATACTAAAATACTAGTTAATAATTATTTATATGAATTTTAAATATAATATAATTTATATGTTAAATATAGTATTTATTTTTATATAATTTATTATAGATTTTAGTTATATAATAAATATTTAATTTATTTTATTCACATATTAAAATATTAGTTAATATAACAGTACGCAGAGAATAATCGACTCTCCACTCTTACACTTTCTTTGATAAAAAAAATCTTAAATATAAAAAGTTGACTGTGTTAGATAAAAACAATTATATTCACTTTTAGTTCCAACAATTTTATGAACGTGTAATTTGATTTTTCAAATTTTTTATTTTAAATGTGTTTTTATAGTTTTTAAAATTAAGCAATTTTAATCTACAAATTAATATATCCTAAAAATAAATAAATAAAAAATGTTAACGAATTTGTGAATGATTCTGCCGGACACCTTAGATAGATAGAAAAATAATAATACTAACAATATTAATACGTTATAAATTTTAGTTGTAGTAAAAAATGTAATATATGAAAAAAAAATTCTTTACATTAATTAATTATTTTTTTATGTTTAATTTTAGATAATATATTAATGAGTGAACTAATATTATTTTATTTTTAAAATGAAAAGAACTAAATTTGTAATAAACAAATTAAAGACCAAAATTACATAATTACTAAATTATAAAGATTAAAACTGAATTCAAGTAAAACAAAATGCAAAATAAAAATACAAAATTATTAATTATTTATATTTTTTTTGGTTCATTGTAGGAGTTTCTCTCCCTGAACTCACAGACTAATCTTCGACATCAAATAAGTAAACATGCACATTTTAACTTAATTTTTTACATTTATAAAAATAAAAATTCTGTCCTGTGTATACAGTCGCGTTAAATTTTCTTATCTTTTAAAGTACTTTCAACGTAACAAGAAAATTGACAATAAATACTTTAGGGATGAAAAAAAAAATCAGTTAATTAAGTGACATAAATTTTTCTAGTACTTGTGTGAATTTAAGTTGGTAATTAATTATTTAAATTATATATTTTTAATTTTAAAATTATTTTTTATCATACTTCTAATTTATTTATTTATTATTATTATTATAATTTCTATTCACCTTTTTCTGAATTTTTTATTATTATTTTTTTTTTATAAAGGACTTCACTGATGGGTTTAACTAGATAAAAGGAGAAGCGCAGGAAAGTGTCCTCAGTTGCATCGAAGAGAAAGAGAGAGAGAGAGAAAGAGAGCTAATGGCAACAGTTGGAGGCAACCGTGATGTGGCAGGAAGCCAGAACAGCGTTGAGATCGATAGTTTAGCTCGCTTTGCTGTCCAAGAACACAACAAAAAACAGGTTTTTCTTTCTTTCTTTCACTTTTCCCCGATCAAACTAAATATTAATTATGTTTTCTGCATCACTTTGTTTCTCCACAAAGTCTTATGATCTGTGTTAATTTCGTACTGGGTCTGTCCGATGATTGCTTTTACCCATGTAAACTTTTCTTCGGAAATTCACATGTTCAAATTTCTCTCTTTTGTTTGATGGACAGTTTTTGATTTCTCATTTGGGGACCGCATAGTAGCGTAAGTCTGTTGTCGGAATAATTGTTTATAGAATATTCACTTGTTTTTCTGAAGTGGGAGAGGTTTTGAAAAATAAGCCAATATTTACTAAAATAATCTCTTGCCAAACATGGACTTACTCCCCAATGGTACGCTTGATTTAGTTTTGTATGTTACAAAAGGTTAGTTTAATATGAGGTGTTCTATCAAATAATTTTTTATTTTCACCAAATTTTATTGCACATGTAGTATGAAACTAATTTCATGCTTTAATCGTCATTCTAATGGATAAAAAAAAACGTAATTTCATTTAAAGTGTAAGGATCAAGTATATTTTGTCACTCAACAAAGTTTTCTCCATATTTAAAGAATCCAACTATCTACAATTGTGTCTAACCCTGTTGGTTATAAACAAACATATTTTCTAATACTCTTTTACTAACACAAACCTTAGTATCGACTATAATTTGTTATAAAACTACCAAATTAATAGAGTTATTAAACAAGAAGTCACATATCGCTACAACTTTGTGATTTCCGATAAATTTCATTTGACTTCATTGTAATTCATATTACGTTCAAATTCATTTCTAATATTATCAAATCAATCAATTAAGTTGCAAATTCAACAACTATCTGTTAATGGGGACTGAATTGATTTGTGTTCCAAAATCAATATCAACTTGACAGACAATTACCAAAGTTAAGAACCAAATTGAAATGTTTATATAACATTAAGCACTAAATTAATTGCTTATTGGGATAAATTTGCGTTTTCATTATGTCAAGGACTCAATAGTTTGGTGTCAATTTGAATAACTAAAGGTGTGTTTGTATTCAAGTTTGCTTCCCATTAACATGAATTCTTTGTCAGAGTAGGACTTGTGTTCAACGTGCATTGGAAAGTGGAAAATCAATAAACCAAACACACTAAGTTGAACATTTTATTCACTGTTGTTACAGAAAGAAAATTTTCTATTTTCTTTTTATGTTGTGGTAACGGGATTTGAATATGAATTTCATTTTAGTTTTGTTATTTTAATTCTATGTTGTTGAATTGGTTGGTGGCTGTGCAGAATGCCCTTCTGGAGTTTGGAAGGGTGGTAAATGCAAAACAGCAAGTGGTATCTGGTACCTTGTACACCATCACTTTAGAGGCAAAAGATGGTGACCAAAAAAAGGTTTATGAAGCCAAGGTTTGGGAGAAGGCATGGTTGAACTTCAAGGAGCTGCAGGAGTTCAAGCTTGTTGGAGATGCACCTGCAGGATCTAGTGCTTAGCTAGGTATTTTACATTTACAAAATTGCCCCTGCCTGATTTTTAAGTATGAATTGTTTATTGATGAATGCAAATATTCAATAGTACTAACTTCTTTTTTGATTTTGCTACTCTAAAGATGGCTGATAAACTGAGTTTAGAATGAATGGGGGACTAAGTGGGGTAAGGGAGTTAAAAGAACTAGAACTTGAAGTCTGGATCAGTTTTTGATTTACACATTGGGCTTCATTTGTCACTTGTCAGTACTCAGTATAGTTTTTATGATGTTGATGATTGTTAATGTTCATTCAATATATTGGTGCTTTGTAGAAAGCTGAACAAGTTGTAGTTTTACTGGCGTGTAATTACTAATTTTTATCTGGTGTATAGACTGCTATGTGACATGACAATAAGTTGTTGATCATCATTGTTATAACATGTGCGGGAATTTCGTTTTTCAATTTTTGCTGATGATTCAGCTTTGAAGGTAATGGCAGTGATATATTGTGATCATGAAGCTTGTTAAACATTTATTGCAATTATATTATTCATTCTTTGAACAGATTCACTACAGTCTTTTCTTTTTTCCTTCCCCTATTCTGAAAGATAAATTAAATCTTAGCATGACTTTTGATTTTGAAAGTGACATTTTTTCACAAAATCTCTCTTAAGTATTTATGGCTTAGGAATTGGGGACAATGACCATTTGATTTACTTTAGGACTAAGGTGGAGTGTTGTATGACTAATTTAGGACTCAACTAGTGCATCATCTAAGAAGAGAAATCTTTTAATAGAGGCAATTTCAGGTTTTTCCTTGGCTCAAATGCTCTTGAACCCATTTACATTTCTTTGCTTGTCCTGAATCAGGCTCTCTGTATACTGTATTCCTATTAGTAGCAATAGAGCTTTGGGGCCTATAAGGATCACTGTTAGTTCAATATGCATCAATATATTTATATTTTTACCATCAACATAACAGCTGAATAACACTCATTATATGTTTCAATGTTTGTGGGCTGTTATGGTCCTGCCATTACCATAGTTTTCACTAATTATTAGGGGATTTTTACTTTTGGTTGTTTTCTGCCCAATACCATAAGACGTTCAAAAGGCTAATGGATTGCAAATCAACACAACTTCTCTCCAACTCCAAGTGAATAACTAAAAGAACAGAATTCAGTTCAGTGCAGCCTTTTCATTTTTTATGTTCAAGTACATATCTAGGTTAACGACTTAACATGGGACAAAACTTGGGTGCAATAGCATTTGGTATTGTTTCCAACAAAAGTAGAGTTTTATCTTGCAAATCAGTGCTAACCTTCAATTCCAACTTTTTTGGGCTGGTTACCGAATCAAATTTTGATTAGAGAATAATATAAAACACCTTAGTTACTGCATATAAATTCTTTATGTTAGCATATGCTTTCATGTTCCCAACCGTATCGGATTTTTTTAAAGGAATTTTTCTTGATTTTTCAGGTTACTGAAGACTGCAGAATGAGACAGCCTGGCTTGAAGGTGAAAGGCTAAGGATATATCAAAGCATCCTATATGTATAAAATAAATGTAGCTTTTACCTTCGGTATGGATATTTGAACTCGAAATTTGGAATCCTGTTTAAAGGTTAAATGCAAGAAATATATGATCCTCTTTTGTATGTGTTCTCTTGATGGGAGAGATCTACTTATTTTAAAAGTAAGTATTAATATACTTATTTTACTTCATAATTTGTGTTTTATAATTTTAATAATTTAACAATTTAAAATTTTTTAATGCATAAATCAAGTCTATAAATTTTTAAAAATTTAAAAATCTTTTGATATATCGTTTATTAATTTAAATTGATGAATAATTATAAAAATATTTTATATGTTGATTTAAATTTATATAATAAATAATTATATGAATTTAAGTTTTTTTTTAAAAATTTGCAGATTTAATTTATGTATTCAGAATTTTTAATTCAAATGGTTTAATCATTGAAATTTTATGTAGACATGAGTTATTATATAGAGTAAGTGTAATTTATATTTTAGATCAAATTTTAATGATCCAATCATTTGAATTAAAAGTTCTTAATGCATAGATTAATTCTATAATTTTTTTTTAAAAATTTAAAAACTATTTGATATTTAGTTTTATTAATTCAAAATAACATAATTATAAAAATATTTTATACATTGAATTGCATTAATGAAATAAAGTATCAAATAATTTTTTAATTTTTTTAATAATTTGTAGACTTGATTAATTAAAAAAACCAGTGAGTGTAAGCTAGCAAATCTCACCTCCACCCCTCCCTCAACACACATATATGATAAGGGATCCACTTCAAGAGTAAGTCTTAGTAAATTTACTTCACTCAATATTTCATGTTTATATCAATTTTTAACAATCTAATCATTAAATTAAAAGTTTTTAGTATATAAGTCAAGTCTACAAAATTTTAAGAAATTTAAAAAATATATGATACTTCATTATACATATTCAACTCAATGTATAAAATATTTTTATAATTATCCATTAATTTGAATTAATAAAACAAAGTATCAAATAGTTTTCAAATTTTTTAAAAATTTGTAACTTAATTTTAGCATTAGGAGCTTTTAACTTAATGATTAGATCGTTATTATTTAGCATAAAATATGAGATATTGAGAGGAGTAAGTTTATTAAAAATTACTCTTGGAGTAAATAAATTCATTCTCTCTCTCTGTTTTGTTTTTTTTTTCTCTCTCTATATATATATATGTAACACCCCAGTTTTCATGCTTTTTATTGAGGGTAATTTCATAATTTTCAAGGTGACTTAGTAGCCCAGAACGGGCCATTCCCAAATTGGAACGGCCGTTCCAAACCACTAAAACAAGCGTGATTAAGTAGCCTAGAACGGACCGTTCCAAAACTAGAACGGGTCGTTCTAGACTACTAAAATGGCCTACAAATCCTAGTTGGGAACGGGGCGTTCTCAAATTAGAGCTGGCTGTTCTGATTTTATAATGGGTCGTTCCAAACATGGTCGTTGTGAGTTAAAGCTCATTCCCAGAACGGACCGTTCTGGTTTGAGAACGGACCGTTCTAGATGCTAATTTTTCATGTGATGAATGAGTCCAGAACAGGCCGTTCTTGCCACTTCGAACTTCTATAAATAGCATACTCTGCAGTGTTTTTGGACACACTCTCTAGAGACCAAGGAGAACCAACAGAAGGAGATCGACCAGATTTCGCTCTAGCTTCATCTTCTGCTCATCCAGGTAAGGGAGAGTGAGAAACCTCGTTCAGGGGTGTGAAAATAATTGTTGGGTGATAAGATTGGCCCCCAATCCCTTGCCTGATGCATGCTTTAGGAACATGCCAAATATGAATGTTTTCTATTTTGTCTTCTAATTGTTATGTTGTGTTCCATGTTGGATGTAATGTGTGAATATGTAATTAATTTTGAGAATAAATATGTTTTGATAAGAATTATAGTGCTATGTGGGTTCCTACGGGAATCCTATGAGAAAACAGGAAAAATATGAATATCTTTTGTTTTGCTTTTTGAATGTTTTGTTGCGTTCCTTGTGTGATGTAGAGTGTAAATATGTAATTGATTTCAAAATTAGATAAGTTTTGATATGAATTAGAGTGCTATTGTGCGAAACCTTATGAGGAATAACTATAAGTATGACTATGTGAAATATGATCAAATGACATGAGACATGATGTGAATGAAAATGTGTTATTGTGAAATGTGATGAAATGAGATAAGCTATGACTATGAGAAGGTGAAATGTAATGAATGTGAAATGTGATGAATGTGATAAGACATGAAATTTCATGACAAGTGAAATGTTGAGTCAATGAAATAATGAATGTGACATGCATCATATGCATACCAGTGATGTAACAAGCTAACAAGGTGTACCTTAGGGTCACCAGTGATGTAACAAGCTAACAAGGTGTACCTCAGGGTTACCAGTGATGAAATGATGAATGAATGTGCCCTTAGGTATGTTGTTGTAGTAGCATACCAGTGATGAGAAATGTGAAACTTTCGTATGGCACCACATGCATGCATTTATGAGTCGAGTCCATGACATCATAGCATGATAAATGAGTGTACATGTGATACTGATCATGTATGTGTATTGTTTATATGATGATTAGTGCTTATGACTTGTAATATGATTGTTGTGTGTGTGTGTGCTATCTGACCTTTATTTCTGCACCTGAACCTAAGTGAGATGTTTCTCACTCCCTTGTTGTTCTTTGTATGTTTTTAAATTGTGTTGTAGGTGATCATCAACATGGAGATGTTGGTGATGAGGCTTAGACTTCAATTGGGCATGCTCTGATAGGATATGTGACATCAGGACATAGTTAGGCATAGTTTACTATTTGAGAACTCAGTTTTATTTCTTTGTAATTTCACTGACATGTTATTTGAATTAAGTTTATGAATGTGAACTCTTTACCCTTGTGTGGTTGGAGATTTGATTATTTTTTTTTAATGATGAAGAATTTTATTTTCATAATTATTATATATGTATATTGGGGTGGAGGGTGTCACATTTAGTGGTATCAGAGCAGGTCGATCTAATCGGCCGTGAGTTATGTACTTATCATGATTCTGTTGTGTACTTTGACAGTGTTTTGTTTGTTGTGTACTTGGATGATGCTTTGCTTTGATAATGATGATGATGATGTTCTCCTTGTGTTGATATTGTTGAGTTTGATACTGTTAGATTATATTTTAATTAGAGGAATGATAGATAATGTTAGCTAATATCATTATGACTGCTCTTCTTCATTCTTATGAGTGCTTATTTGTTTTCTTGCTTACGTAAGAAGTAGTAGATGAGTGATATCGCTTGTGTTGCAAACATATGTGTGAGTAGTAGTAGACGAGATATTGTGCTAATCAACTAGAAATTATTAGAACCTTGGATGTGGGTGAGACATTGATTTATCAAGTGTATTGAGAGTTTAAGGTTGATGGAGTTTTTGGAATCTATAGTTGTAGCGATTGAATCCAAGGAGGTTGTATCTTGAGAATTGGAGTTTTGGTATTCTTGATGAGAGATTGAAATGTTGGTGATTTCTTTGAGTTTGATGCTTGCATGTTAACCTTTTATGGTTTAGGTAGCATGTGAGTTTATTTTCTAAGACTTTTGTGCTGAATATGTGAGTTGTTTTGGTTTAGGATTGTAGTGTGAAGGTTGGATATGAGTTTGAAGTGAAAATGATTGGGTTTGGAAGGATTGAGATATTCTCGTGGCATTAGATGTTGATACATTATTGTTGTTTGGTGTAGGGGATGTTTGCACTGCAGTTTTGTTGTGCCAGTACATGTGCTATATTGACAGAATTAGATTTTGTGGTCTTCATAAGAGTTATAGCTTATTTCCTTAGCTTTCTTTAGAGATAGGTTTGAGATCATTTGGATGAGTATAACTCTATGTATCATTTTTCTTTGAAAGTTGTTGAGGGGATATGTACAGTGTCATGATGTTTTGAGTTGTTAGACAATGCAAGGATAAAAATTGATTTGGTTATGATGTTCTGAGGCGTTGTCATGTGGATTGAAAGGTTGTTTCAGGTGGTATGTTGCTATGTGGTAAAGTTAGTTCATGTACATGCTATATGGTGTAAACGGTGATTGATTCGTACATGCTTAGGGATGGTATATATGAAGGTTTAAATTAGGTATTCTAAATGATTTGATATGCGCATATGTTGATATGTGGATAGATGACCTTAGTGATCAATTAGTGAATGTTTGTGTGTTTAATAAGATTAGCCTTAGGGTGTGATATCATCATATTGGAGTTGAGGGTGAAGATATATCCAAGACAACTTTAGGTTAAGTTATCTAAGTATGATTTTTCGTTGTATGAAATGAGTTTTCTAGGTCTTTTAAATTTTAGTGGAGGTATAACATAGATCTACTTAAGATAAAAGTTGTGCTTAAGTGGGAGATATCAAAAGTCAATTAGGGAGGTTAAGAGTTTTCTTGGGTTAGTTCCTTGTTATTGGAGAATTATTGAGGAAATTTCTAAAATAACATTACCTTTGATTAGGTTGACTAAGAAGAGTATTGTCTTAGTGACTAAGAAGAGTATAGTATGTGTGAGAGTAGTTTCCAAATTCTTAAGAAACGATTAACTAGTGTTAATATTACTGGATTTTAGTAAGTTTCTTGTGGTATATAGTAATGCTTTTAAGATGGGTTTGGGTGGAGTGTTGATGTAAGAAGGAAAGGTAGTAGCTTATGTTTCTAGACAATTGAAAATTTGTGAGAGGAATTACCTTACCCATGACCTTGAGTTAGCAGTTGTAATATTTACACTTAAGATTTTGGAGACATTACCTGTTTGGTTCTAAGCTTGAGGTATTTAGTGATCATAAAAGCCTTAAATATCTATTTGACCTGAGAGAGTTGAATATGAGACAAGAGAGATAGTTGGAATTTCTTAAGGACTATGATTTTGATGTTAGTTGTCATATAGGCAAAGCCAATATGGTGGCTGATGCTTTGAGTAGAAGACCTCTCAATATATCTTCCCTTATGGTTAGAGAGATGAATCTTTTGGCTCGGTCTAAGGATTTAAGTTTGGCTTATGAGGTTACCCTTAGTAGTGTGAGACTAGGTATGACTCGAGTAACGAGTGGATTGTTG